ATTACAGAATCCATTGTGTGATCCAAACCTTACCATTGATTCAGCATTTGTTGACAAATACTCGCATTTAGGCGAAGATGTCATCACTTTATTCTCCAATGAATCGGTGTATGAGTTGACTGTCAGTCCCCATAACCTGGACATTTGGTTCCGATATGACAGCAGTCAACCACTGGGTGAATGGTCTTTGGGTATTATGGGACCTATTAATGTAGTCAACTACGATGTGACCGCAAATTACTTAACACTGGAAAATGTAAGTCTATTGTAGACTAAAAACCTTTAATCAAATGATAAGTTTTTAAACTAAATATAAAAACTTATATGAAGTTTAATCACAATCATAATACTCATATTCATTTATCATAATCACAGTATGCAAAGGAAATAAACTGGACAGTATGGTATAAAAATAAAACAATCAAGGATGTTTATCCACTGGAAGGTGTCTCACCAGACTGGCACAATTACATCTCATTTGAAAGGCTAACCACCGATAATATGTCCCTGATACTGGACAAGTATGTTCTCCGGACACACCCGGACCCACAAATAGACTTCAAGCGCTACATCGATGGCCAACTGCACAGTGAATATAAAAATCTAATTGTATTTGAAATCCCAAACCTTAACGACACGTTAGACTACTTGAGGGGAACGACTGCCGGCTTTCTATATGACAATCGCATGTATATTATGGCCGGACATAGGATTTGTAGTATAAATCTGATCACCAATTACTGGACTGAGGAGTGTTTACCACAAACTATAGCCGAATGGGTTGGTTGTAGTGATGATCACCACAATACTGATGATAACCAGATGGTGGTCGACATACCTGATGCTGATGTGATGGGACCGGTAGTCAATACACCCGTTATTATCCTTATATCGATGCTATTGATTGGTGCTGTGATGACAGCTTTTATTATAGTAAACAGATGGCATGTTATAAATAGACCCAGGGTCAGTCCAGCACCACAAATGGCTTCAAATCCCATTAGTTTTAATTAATCCTTTGACCAGATTAATGTGTATTAATAAGTACACGTCAATTATTGTTATACGTTTGTGAAGCACTTTTGTATCTGATTTGTATTTTCACTTATAAATTATACTGTATTAACAATATGTACAAAACAATGATATCAGACTACTACAATTTTATTAAATACAATAATTAATATATTTGAACAAACTCTATATTTCTAAAGGGCTTACAAAATTAAACAATATGAATTGAAAGTTATTATACTTATAATCAAGTATTCTAAAATAAAATTACTTATAATTTATAAATGTAGTTGTCTGACCAGTGTCATGCCACACGTTTCAATATCTTAATGGCCATATTTTTAGGCCGCACCGCACCCGCCGATACCATGAACCTGAGCCCGTCTTTCATGCCCATCGGTGCCTGTGTATATTTGTGGGCCAATGTATTATATTATCGGTGTTAAAAGTAACTTTTTTACTAACTTAATTTAGTGGAAGCTTTGGCTCAAAAAAGCAAAAGTATAGAAATTTATATAATTTCAAAACCCATGTATCAAACATATTTCCCTCCCTTCCCCTTATTGCCAGCCATTTGGTTCTCATTAATTTTACTTTACAAAGCAAATACAAAATACAATTTTAATTATGATAGCACCTAATTTTATAGACTTTANCATTTGGTTCTCATTAATTTTACTTTACAAAGCAAATACAAAATACAATTTTAATTATGATAGCACCTAATTTTATAGACTTTATTGAGTGTAGATAAATATCCATAATTTATGAAAATATAATTAATTCTATAATCGCTTACTGTAAACATGGGTTTCTATAGCAACAATTTTGTTATAATTTTGCTATATTTTCTCATAAATTATTAAATGACATTTAAAATTTTATGTCATAATACATATTGCTAAAGAATTATTTTAACTAATAAAATATAAAATATTAATTAAAATTTGAGTAATTATTATTCATTTATTATTTTAGTAATTTGCATATAAATGACAATTTTGTAAATGCTAGAAATCATATATTGTACTAAAAACACAACATATTAAAATAGCAAAATTAAAATAAATGAAATAATGTTAATCAATATCATTTGCATTTAAGTTAATTTTATATTTGCATATTATTGCTAAATAAAATAATGTATTGCATTATTATTTTAATATAACATTTACATTATAAGATTTCAAGTACAATATTATAATTATATTTGGAGTGGTTAATATAGTTTTTCTAATAAATTTAAAAATTAATATCAGTATTAAATTGTTATCCCAATAATGCCTACACCAGAGGAAATGTGTTTGAAATTATTTATTTTAATAACTTATTTCATTTATCAACTTAACTTACTAATTAAAACAATAAATAATTTACTAATTAAAATAATAAAATATTGTGTAAGAATTTTAATAAATTCAATAAAGTTTACAATCCTTTGGTTTATAAGTAGAATTAAACACAACATTAAATTAAATGTGAAATTCATTGTAAAAGTGTTGTGTCTTTCAGTGCTATTCTACGGAGGAATAGAAGTGACAAAAGAGTACTTCAGTTATCCTTATGTTTATCGACTGAGTGTTAAACCATCGGAAAGACTGTATTTACCGCCGATTACTGTCTGTACGGGAAAGCATGTGTTTTTCGATAAGTCACGGATTAACCGATACTTTAATGTAAGTCTTGAGTCAAACAAACAACAAGTAAATCATGAAATCAGTAAAGTTTTCAAGCCGTGTCAGACAGATATGGAAGATACATTCTATATAGATTGTATCCAACTTACTGATTTTGTTATATATAATTATATCATAAATCAATTTTATTGGGAATATCAGAATAAATTGTTAACAAATTATACATTCAGTGAATTGTATAATAAGTTCACAATAAAATCCAATGAATTGATTAAATGTTCGGCAAAATTGCATTCAAAAGACAAAACAAATTCAAATAACAATAATAGCAGTGATTCTCAAGTAATGACTGATTATTCGCAAAGTTATGCCGTTTTGGAGACTATTTATGGGAATAAAGACTTCGGAATATGTTTCACGTATTTCTATACAAATCATTACAACTATTATCTGATTGACGACGACTTCATTCAATTTGACATCTCTTTTGAAACCCAACAAAAATTTATAAGCAGTGGTTATTATGATGAATATTATAACAAAATATACGATTCTTTCATTAAAAAACCGATTCTTTATTTATATCATGTAAGAGATTTATATTTCAAAGACAATTTTGGTTTATATATATTTGTGAATCCAATGACTGAACCATTGATGGCATCAAAGGAGACATCAATTAAAACGATGTTCGCAAAGTTATGCCGTTTTGGAGACTATTTATGGGAATAAAGACTTCGGAATATGTTTCACGTATTTCTATACAAATCATTACAACTATTATCTCATTGACGACGACTTCATTCAATTTGACATCTCTTTTGAAACCCAACAAAAATTTATAAGCAGTGGATATTATGATGAATATTATAACAAAATATACGATTCTTTAATTAAAGACCCGATTCCTTATTTATTTGATGTAAGAGATTTATATTTCAAAGACAATTTTGGTTTATATATATTTGTGAATCAAATGACTGAACCATTGATGGCATCAAAAGAGACATCAATTAAAACAACAAAAATTGGATTAAACGGAAGATTGAAGATAACGTCAACTCATTGGCAATTACTTTCCAAACCTTATATGAAATCATGTCGTGAATACGGTATTGTTTATTATATTACACTCTATAATAGTATAATAATATTACTTTTATTTTTGCTTTCAAAGAACAAGGTGACAGTTCCATTGCTTGCTTCATTAAATGCATTGAAAAACTATACAACAAATCATTTGAATGTTTACCCAATCCTTACATCAATGAAGAGTTTATTCTATGAATGACATCCCAAACCACAAACCAATGAGTCCTCCGATGTTTGACAGGAATTCATTGACGACGACTTCATTCAATTTGACATCTCTTTTGAAACCCAACAAAAATTTATAAGCAGTGGATATTATGATGAATATTATAACAAAATATACGATTCTTTAATTCAAAACAAAATTTATTTATTTGATGTAAGAGATTTATATTTAAAAGACAATTTTGGTTTACATATATTTGTGAATCCAATGACTGAACCATTGATGGCATCAAAAGAGACATCAATTAAAACGACAAAAATAGGATTAAACGGAAGATTGAAGATAACGTCAACTCATTTGCAATTACTTTCCAAACCTTATATGAAATCATGTCGTGAATACGGTATTGTTTATTATGTTACACTCTATAATAGTATAATAATATTACTTTTATTTTTGTTTTCAAAGACATAGGTGAAAGTTCCATTGCATGCTTCATTAAATGCATTGATAAACTATACAACAGATCCTTTGAATGTTTACCAAATCCTTACAACAATGAGGAGTTTATTCTCATGAATGCGAGTCAAACACAGTATAGAATATGTGGTAATAATAAAACAAATACAGAATATTCTGTTAATACAAACTATTGTAAAGAGAAATGCGTTAAGAATTGTCACCAAAGATACTATTCATTAGAATTGGAAGACAATGAATATTTGGTACAAAATGACAGCAAAATTAGAATTGAATACAAAATAAGTCAAGAATTTCACTACATGGAAGACAATGAATATTCGGCACAAAATGACAGCAAAATTAGAATTGAATACAAAATAAGTCAAGAATTTCACTACAAATCCGACAAAAAGTATTCATTCGTTGACTTCCTGTCAAACATCGGAGGAGTAATTGGTTTGTGGTTTGGGATGTCTTTCATAGATACCAGTGCTCTCATTAGACTCGTATTAAATCGCTTTCAATTATTCATACTTTTTTACATTCATTTTGAATTCTTGATTATTCTCCAAAATTTAAAATTGAAAATCATTTTGACAATTGAAAAGTTATCAAAATACAAATGGAGACAGATTATTACGCTTATTACGTTACCTATCATTTGTTTTCAAATATACATCTTATGTGATAATTATTTGCAATATTCATCGCAAACTTCAATTCAATTAATAAAATATAAGAATAATAACAGAATTCCGTTGCAATCGATTCCAGCGATTACTCTGTGCTATGAAAACACATTTCAAGACATTTTGTTTGATCACAATATTCGCCAGTATTTTATTAATTTCAATTAATAAAATATAAGAATAATAACAGAATTCCTTTGCAATCGATTCCAGCGATTACTCTGTGCTATGAAAACACATTTCAAGACATTTTGTTTGATCACAATATTCGCCAGTATTTTATTAATAATGTATTTAATAATATTTATTTAAAAAAGGTTGAAAAACCTATTGAAAATATTCATTTGAAATCAAATGACAGCTACATTAGAAATATTACAGAATATTATTTAATTCAAAATTTTATTCCCAATATTATAGAAAATAACAAGAAATATTCCAAATCAATATATTCACATTCAGATTACATTGACAATCATATTGACAATCCTATTACTGCAAAACAATTTAATGAATATTTTATCAAATATCTTGATGTAAATACACATCAAGAATATAAAGACAATTTAAAAAGTTTTTATCGAAAACTAATAAATGAAACAAATATTGATTTAAACTTTTATACCACTTTAATTCATTGTCACATCGATTATCAATACAAATGCCATAAACTAAGACCTATTGTACGGATATTATCCCCTTTTGGCAAATGTAACACATTTTTATCGGATTTGAGATCTAATTCATCAGTATTTGAATTTAAAGAAAGTTTCTATTTCAAAGAGTTTCGTAAAGAGGATGAATATAAATATAATAAAATTAATTTTATGAGAAAAAAATTTATTATTCATTCGAGAGATTCATTGCCAATAAGTGATGACAATTATATTGAATTTAAAGATACATCAATATTCGAAATAAAATTAGTTACGATTCAGAGATATTTATTGAAACGACTTCCGAAACCATACGACACTCAATGCAATGAATATTCCGGAAATGAAACACAATTTCATTGTTTAAACAAATGCTATGAAAATGAATATCAAAAGAAATTCAGGTGTATTCCTAAATATAACAGTTTACTAACTATTCAATTGTATAAATATAATTCAAATTTTTGTTCAAACATTTATATAAACAATGGCAGTTATATCAACGAACAAACTCATAAATATTGTAAATCTAAATGTCCAGTTAATTGCCTTGAAAATCTTTTTTCTTTTAAATTGCAAGATACTAAAGAGGACTATCAATATGAACAACATTATCAATTTGATTTAAACAAAATATATTTTACTGAAATCATTTATTCAGCAAAAATATCACTCATTGGATTAATCATAAGTATCGCCAATATATTGAGTCTATGGCATGGAATCACTTTCATTGGTTTAATACAAACTATTATTCCTCATTTTGAGCATGGTGATAAAATGACACTTTTAATAAATGTTG